AGAAAAATATATGACTGGTCAAGAAGCCCATGAGAAAAGCTCCATCTCACTAAACACTGAAGAAATGCAAATTAAAACCATGGTGAACTATGAAAAAACACCACCTAGAATGGCTAAAATTTAAATGGAATGAGATCATTCCCAACACTGGTGAACATGTGGGACACCAGGAAGTTTAATACATTGCTGGTGGGAATGTTAAGTTTAACCACTTTGGAAAAGCGTTTGGCAGTATCTTTTGTTAAATCCTACTATATGACCTAGCAATTCCACTACTGAGTATTTACCCAAGAGAAATGGAAACATATCCACAAAGACTTATGATCAGAGTAATTTTATTCATAAAAGCTAGAAACGTCTACATTTTCATCAACAAGAGACTAGATAAACTACAATATACTCATATTAGCATTTTTTAAATATCAGCATTTTTTAGAAGGAACAAACTACTCATACACACAACAAAACAGATGAATCTCAAGTCAGCACACCTAGACACAAAAGATCACATAGTATGATTCTGTTTATATGAAGTTCTGAAACAAGGAAACTTACCTCTGTCAAAAGAATTTAAAACTGTGGTTGTGGGGGTGTGGGGCAGAAGCAGGCACTGAGGATAAAATAGCAGGAGAGAATTTTCTGGGTTGACAGCTATGTGCTATATCTTAACAGGCATGTGGGCTGTATGTATGTACACATTTGTTAAAACTTACTAAACTATATATTTTACTGAGTATCAATTATATCTCAATAAAATCTCTCAGAAGGGAGAAAAGCCATGGATGCTATATAGAGATGACTGTGATCATGAGCCATTAAAACATACAGATCTTCCTTTTCAAATGTTGCTACTCCCACCTCTACCATAAACATCCCATCACCCCATACCCCAAATCACTACAACAGGAATGTCTCTTTCAATCTTTCCTAAATGAAAGCCTGTGGCTGGTTCCTGTATAAAAGAGTAATTTCTCTCCAGAGAGAACTGCAGGTAAAAAAAATGGGTCTTTTTCGGCGCCTGGCTGGCTCAGTTGGCTAAGCAACTGCCTTCGGCTCAGATCATGATCCCAGAGTCCCGGGATCAAGTCCTGCATCAGGCTCCCTGCTCAGCGGGGAGTCTGCTTCTCCCTCTGACCTCTCCCCTCTCATGCTCTTGCTCTTTCTCTCATTCTCTCTCTCTCTCAAATAAAATCTTTTTAAAAAATGGGTTTTTTTCATCACCATAGTTTTTAATGAAGAAACTTGTTTAAAACTGTAAAGGAAAAAATGGGCATGGGATGGCAAAATCTTAGCAGCAAAGTGGTTAAACAAATTGAAAATATTAATGCACAAACATTAAAATATTAAAGTATATATGTGGCATATAAAATACAGTACAGATGGAGGAGTTGCACTATACTAAAGGTAAACAACATTACTTCTGCAGTATCTGACAAGTACTAAGTTAAAAGTGGAAAGCACTTTTATGACAGTTATAATTGAAGCAAAAAAAAAAGTTTCATAAAACTAGACTCAAACTTAGCTAAACAGTGGCATAAAAACATTCACTTTTTCTCCAAAGAACTAGGATATACATTATTCTTAAAATAGTCTTGTACATGTAATAAGAATCACTCACCCATGCAAAAGGACAAAGTAATATAAGTAGGGAAGAAAGAAAGATTGCTAAATTAAAGTCTCCCAAAATAAGCTTTCAAGAGTAACTCTAATGGTTTATTAAACTTGACAATATCGACACAGAAAAAGACCTATTCCAGAAAACCAATAACCTGCTGAACTAGTTTACAAATCAAACAAATCCAGCATTTTATAAATGTTCTTTATTCATAAATATCAAGCTAAAATTCAGAAGCAGCTTTTCCCTGTTTTTATAGTTTTTAAAAATAAGCTGTAAACTAAGAGTCTCCAACCTAAATCTCTACAAGAGAATCCAAATACTGGCTCATTAATATATTACATACTGAACCTCTACCCAGTATTAACCTGCTATTTGGGAATGCCAAATTTTGTGAACAGTATCTGCACACACATTTTATTCTTCAAATGACATAAAAATTTTCTCAGAACTAAAGGACAAACCTTTATTACAAAAAGGGACTCTGGGCACCTGGGTGGCTCAGTTGGTTAAGCAACTGCCTTTGGCTCAGGTCATGATCCTGGAGTCCCAGGATCAAGTCCCACATCGGGCTCCCTGCTCAGCAGGGAGTCTGCTTCTCCCTCTGACCCTCCCCCCTCTCATGTGCCCTCGCTCTCTCTCTCTCATTCTCTCTCTAATAAATAAATAAATTCTAAAAAAAGGGGGAGGAGGGGTAGGGACTCTGCCTAATGCCCCAAGGCTTGGGTTGAAATTACAGTGGTCTACACAATCAGGACTTGGCTAACCAAGATCAGTGGCAAAATACCAGAAGCTGCCATCTCAGCTGATCTGAGATGGTATTCTTCTTCTTCTGTGACTGGTAAAATTACTTCAGCCTTGGGAAACTTTGATAAAACATAAAAAGAAAAATCCTAGGGAGGAAGACGCACAAGACTGTACAATGAAATTAAAATTCATCTGATTTGAGCACCTTTATTACTAGTTTAAAGTGAAAGTATAATAAAAATTATTTAAAGCTTAAAAAATAAAGGACAAGTGCTCAGATCACAAGAGACCACTAAGCACGCCACACCATAAATGAAGATACCCACACCAAAGCACATTATGAAGTTTTAGAGCACAATGGGATAGAAAGAAGATACTAAAATAGATTCCTCCAGGAAGAGCACTTACAAAGGATCAGGGACAACTTGCCAACAGGAACACAGGAAATTGAAAGAGAATAAAGGAAACAGCTTCTAAACTCTGAAAGAAAATTAGTTCCAACAACCATTCAAGCACATAGGTAGAATAAAGACATTTTCAGACACACAGTGTCACTTTCTCAAGAATCCCAATGATTTGAGTGCAACCTTGGAAAGCAGCAAAGGCAGCCCTGGGAAAAGCAGGCCTGTAACCAACCAGTGACACAGTTCACAGTGACACAGGAGGAAGAAGAGCTCCCGAGGACAGTGGGATTTATAGACCTCTGACCATGTGGAAAAGAATAGTAAGATCTGGTAAAGAGCTGCTGGAGCTTTTGGAATAAACCTGTCATAGAAATAGAATAGAAAAACAAATTTAAAATAAGAGATAACCATTAACCATTAGGAAAAGAAAAAAAGTAGATAAGAAAATGAAATTGTAGTCTACTGCCTGGCTCAGCATTACATAATATTTGTCCAGTCAATGAACATTGATTCAATCAAACATTGTGATACGCATGATTATATCAGAGGGCTAAAGGGAGGGAATTCAGGAAAGGCTATCAGACCTAAATCGTCGCCTACCATAACACCCAGTTAATACACCACAACTAAAACTGGTATCTTAAAAAAAAAAAAAAAGGCAGTTTAAGTATATCATTTAGAAATAAGGAAATAAATACCAAAAGAAATCACTAAAAGGAAAAAAATAAGACTGGGGGGTGCAAGAATGAGACAGGGTTTTACCAGGGTTTTACACTGTTTTTCAGTACTGTATTGGGGGGCCTCTAAGGTCACCCCACGACCCCCATAACTCAGCACAGAGTCACACTCATGGCTGATATTTATTACATGAAAGGATACAAAGCAAAAACAGCAAAGGAAAAGGCAAGCGGAGAGTAGTCCAGGGGACACCCAGGCTCAAGCTTCCAAGAATCTTCCTGCAGTGGGGTCACAGAAACAAGCTGAACTCTTCTACAACAGTAACACGTGAAGTGCTGTCTGCCAGACAACTCCTGCCGGACAACTCCAAGGTCTTTGTGGAGCCTAGCATGTAGGAGAATTCCAGACTCCCAGAAAGAAAGCAGGTATTCAGCAGAAACCACGCTGCTTTTACCAACAGTAAGACACAGTAGGCCACTATTCTAATTTAGGAAAAGTTTTACATACTGTAGGAAACTTAACAGTCAAGTTCTCCAACACCAGCCAAGGACGGACAGTGCAGGCAGGTCTTCTATGGACAACAGTCTCTGCACGAGTACTATTTGATATCTTAAACTATCTTATGAATTTATCTGATACAATTTTAAAACAAAAAACAAAAAAATTGGGTGTCTGGGTGGCTCAGTCAGTTGAGCATCTGCCTTCGGCTCAGGTCATAATCCCCGGGTCCTGGAATCAAGTCCCGCATCAGGCTCCCCTGCTCGGTGAGGAGTCTACTTCTCCCTCTGTCCCTCCCCCTGCTCATGCTCTCTCTCTCAAATAAATAAATCTTTAAGAAAAACTTTAAAAAATCATGTCTTACAAAAAGAATACTGCCAATCCTATTTTAAAATCAAATAAAAGGGGCACCTGGGGAGCTCAGTCAGTTAAGTGTCCGAGAATGATTTCAGCTCAGGTAATGATCTCAGGGTCCTGAGACTGAACCCCATGTTAGGCTCCATGCTCAGTGGGGAGTCTGCTTGAGATTCTCTCCTTCTGCCTCTCCCCCAACTTGCACACACATACATTCTCTCTCTCTAATAAATAAATTTTTAAAAAATTAAAAAGAAATAAAGAAAAAGGGATTTCTCTTAAAATATTAATATTATTGTCCAAGAAAAAAATGTTTTAAGTTTATCAACAAAATGGGACAGATATAATCCTTCAGATGAAGCAGATAAGGTTTAGCGTTCATATCATCAGCAGTGAATTTCCTCCCATGACAGTATGTTTGAGGTTTAGGACCTGTGCCCAGGAAATGCAAACTAGTATTCACATTTACAGGCTTGACAACAATTTCTCATGCACGTCCCCACAGACCACTTGCCATCCAATTCAGCTGTTATATAATTAGTCCTTTAAAATCTACTAATATTTGTTTAGGCCTGTATTTAGTAGAGATTTTACTCTTTATGTGAGTTATTGTTTCTGTACCCTTCTTATATATTATCAGACTTAATCTTTAGTTTCTCATCCAAACAAACAAACATTTAATTAGAGTCCCACATGCCACTCACAGAAATTCGCTGAATGACATAGTGATTTCATGTTTTCCGCTCAGCTTCCCAACATTCTCAGTGTCACTGATTAAAACAATATACCTAAGACAAGATATATGTGTAAAAGAAAATATAAAAATGTAAAATTCTGAAGTTCATTACAATGAAAATGAACATATGAATGCCTTTTCAATGCTGACATCTAACACACAGCTAATGACAAGAAAACAAACTAAAGTTAGTTCGGGAAACTGACAATGCAATCTGTAAAATCAACCTCCAGATGAGACCAAAATCTGAAGACCATAAGACACAGATTCATAGGGTCCCCTGGGTGGCTCAGTCGTTAAGCGTCTGCCTTTGGCTCAGGTCGTGATCCCAGGGTCCTGGGATCGAGCCCTGCATCGGGCTCCCTGCTCGGCAGGAAGCCTGCTTCTCCCTCTCCCACTCCCCCTGCTTGTGGTCCCTCTCTCGCTGTGTCTCTCTCTGTCAAATAAATAAATAAAATCTTTAAAAAAGAAAGAAAGAAACAGATTCATAAATACAGAGAACAAAACTAATGGGTGCCAGAGGGGAGAAGGGGAGGGGAATGGGCGGTTAAGCAAAATGGGTAAAGAGGAGTAGGCGGTACAGGCTTCCAATTATGGAGTGGATAAACCACAGGGATGAAAGGTACAGCATAGGGAATATAGTCAATGGTAGTTGTGTGGGGACAGATGGTAGCCATACTTGTGGTTAGCACTCTATAACATACAGACTGTGGAATCACTATACTGTACACCTGAAACTAATGTAACATTCTGTATCAACTAGACTTCAATATCAAAAATAATAATAAAAGAACAAAGCTTTAAAGTGAAAGTGAAAGTTCAGACTCAGGATTAGAATGTCAGGTGTTTTGAGGCGCTTGGGTGGCAGAGTCTAGGTTAAGCGTCCCAACTCTTGGTTTCAGCTCAGATCATGACCTCAGGGTCCTGAGATTGAGTCCCCCCCCACCTTGGGCTCCTGCTGAGCGGGGAGTCTGCTCCCCCCCTCCCTTTGTCCCTCCCCCCACTCATGCACTCTCTAAAATAAATAAATAAATCTTAGGAAAAAAAGAAAGAAAGAAAGAATGTCAGGTGTTAGAAAATGAGCAGCCAAAATATATAGGAAATAATTCCACCTTTGCCTCCAAGGTGAAAGACTGGGAAGGACACAATTCAGTCCTACATACCACTGTCCAAATCAAAGAGTATGTACGTTTACTAAGTATCACGGGAAAACCCACACTGGACTATTGTCTTTAAACAAAATCAAAAGTGCTATCACTAGCTGTCACTCTAATACAGAGGACAAAAAAGTTTTCTCATTTAAAAAATCATAATAAATATCATTCCGTACTCAACAGAGAAACAGAACATTTTTAAAGGATTGGTATAAAAAAAAATAATAAAAAATAAAAAAATAAAGGAATGGTATATTCTTGGGGGGGTGGGGAGACAGGCCTCTTTCCCGCCACATTTCATAATCACATAATCTATTCTCAAGTAAATCTTCTTTTTTTTTTTTTAAGATTTTATTTATTTATTTGACAGAGACAGCGAGAGCAGAAACACAAGCAGGGAGAGTGGGAGAGGGAGAAGCAGGCTTCCCGCTGAGCAGGAAGCCCGATGTGGGACTTGATCCCAGGACCCTGGGATCATGACCCGAGTGGAAGACAGACGCTTAACGACTGAGCCACCCAGGCGCCCCTCAAGTAAATCTTAAATGAGAACTCAACTGGAGAGTGGAAGGACCAACAAACTTTATTTAACAGTAACTTTTAAAATGCACACTACTGGGGGCACCTGGCTGGCTCAGTCAGTCAAAAGAGCATGCAACTCTTGATCTGGAGGTTGTGAGTTCAAGCCCCATGGTTCGGTACTAAACAAAACAAAACAAAAACAGAAACAAAACAAAACAAAGCAATAATCTTTTTTTTTTTTTTTTTTACAAAGCAATAATCTTAAAATGCACACCACTGGTTACAATAGAAACTGGGCAGAAATATCTAGTCTATGGTTCCCAAACAGTGCACTGAGGCAGCCAGAGCATCATAAGTCAAGTCATACAGCAGCCATGGGGTATCTTCAATTTGAGATAAACAGTAGCACCCAACATCTGTCAGACACTGTACAAACTACTAGCTAAAAGAAGTTCAATTTCAACATTAGGTTGAGCGACATTCCTTTCAATGACATATCTTTGTGAAGTGGGATTTTGGGGAGTAGTTGCCACAATTTTTTTTTAAGTACCACGTGAAAATCAACATGAGACAAGAAATGAGAGGGGTAATGTCCAATCTGATTACAAAGTATTACTATGTATAGTATCCAGCAGGCACAGGCAAACCATTAACTTTAATTTAAAGAGTGAAATAAAAATATTATTTTCTCTTTCAATTTATATGTATTTGTTTTCAAATGTCTACTAAACTGTCATGACATAAATACACATTAAGTTGTGGGAATCTAACAACATAACTTAAAAGCACATGGAACTATTAGGTATTTCCATTAGGCTGACACCACGTCTAAGAGCAGGATATATACACAATGAGGCTGAAATATCATGTCATAAAAGAAAGTAAAAAGTTACGAAAGATGATTGGAATCAAGTCAAAAGAAAGGACTCAGAAGCCAACTGGAAGATGCTCCCACTGGCCAAAAATTAATAAAATAACTGCAACGAACTAAAATATATCAAGTATATTTAAATCCATGAGTTCATAACGATACTCCATAAAAGTCACTGGTCACTCTGGAGGATGCTAGAGAACCATCTCATTATATAGAATAGCTGGTAAATAAAGGGGAAAAAATTTATTTTGAATTTCCTATACAAAGTGTTGATGCAACAAGTTTCTTTTGATCAAAACCTTCCAACTAATAAAGAAATGAAGGACTATCGCCAATTAAACAGCAATTTAAAAATGGATACTGGCAACGATTTTCAATGGCTGCTAAGATCTCACACAAAAAAAGAAAGAAACCACACCTTAATGTGCTCTCTGATAGATACACACACCAGCCTTGCAAAAATAAGCAAACAAAACCTTAAACTAATTGATTAAGACTCAAAATCTATAGGGTATAAAATTTAATTTAGTTTCTTTAGTTAATACTTTGCAAGAAAAAGAGAGGGGAAGGGGGGAGAGTGGGAGAGTGAATATAAATATTAAGAGACTTAAGACCAAGAATGAGAAGACAAGCCACACACTGGAAGAAAATATTCATAAAAGACTACACTATAATAAAGGACTGTTAGGTACAAAGAACTCTTGAAACTCAACAATAAGAAAACAAACCAATTTAAAATTCGGCAAAAGACAAGAAGACACCAAAGAAGATATATAAATGACAAACATGGAAAATGCTCCATATCATGTCACTAGGGAACTGTAAATTGATGAACCTGATAAAACAAATCTAGATTTTTAAAAAATTATTTTGCTTTAGGGGTGCCTGGGTGGCTCAGTCAGTTAAATGTCTGCCTTCGACTCAGGTCATGATCTCAGGGTTCTGGGATCAAGCCCTGCATCGGGCTCCCTGCTCAGTGGGGAGCCTGCTTCTCCCTCTGCCCCTCTCCCTGTTCATGGTCTGTTTCTCTCTCTCATATAAATAAATGAAATCTTTTAAAAAATTATTTTTCTTTAAAAAAATGTTCTTGTAACTACGTATGGGGATGGATGTTCATTAGGCTTCTTGTGATCATTTCGCAATGTATACAAATATGGATCACTACATTGTACACCTGAAATAAATATAATGTTATATATCACTTATACCTCAATTTAAAAAAACTACCAAAAAAAGAACCATACCTATTAGAATGCCCAAAATCCAAAACACTGACAAAACCAAATGTTGGTAAGGGTATGGAGCAAAAGGAATTCTTATTCAGTGGTGGTGGGAATGCAAAATGGCAGTCACTTTGGAAAACAGCTTGGCAGTTTCCAATAAAACTAAAGCAATCACACTCCTTTGGTGTTTTGGTATTTACCGAAATGAGTTGAGAGAACTTATGAACACACAAAAACATATACATAAGATGTTTACGGCAGCTGGGGCACCTGGGGGCTCAGTTGACTAAGCACTGGACTCTTGGTTTCAGCTCAGGTCATGATCATGCTCAGCATGGGGTCTGCTTGGGATTCTCTCTCCCCTCTCCC